CCAACGGAAGGAGTCCACATCCCCCCCATCGCGGGGACATGTAGACGCGCTGGCACGTTGGGGGAGATTCAGCCAGGATTTCGCGAGTCTCCGGATCGCGAGAGACCGGAATAGGTAAGTAATCAGAAGGCGTCATGTCTGAGCTATACGCCGCGTGCGGGAGAAGTTCCCAGCTTAACGCAAAGATATGGTCCTGAGTCACTTTCACAACATGTGATCGAGCATTGTCATGAAGCAAGATTACTTTAGGACATCCTTGGCCAGTAAATGGCCTCTTTTCTTCTAATGCATCGCCCAAATTGGTCAATTGTTGTTGTTGTTGTAATACAACACACCTTTCCAATCCCACCAGATACAGAGTAAAACCTTCTTGGCGTGGATATTGGACTTTGGCGTCGATGTCGAAGGTTGACCAGGGTGCCAACTCATGATTTTCTATGTTTAGGGTTATCATAAAGAATCCATTTTTCATCGCCTGTAATTTGTGCAGAAAATCTTTTTTCCGGAACTTTGAAAGCAAAGTGAGTGTCACGCCTACGATTTTTGTTGTCTTCGGACAATTCATGCGGAACCCATTTGCCTTCCTTCTGAACCTTTCTCATCATATGTAAACGTAAATGGTTTGCTGTTTAACTCTAAGCTGTTCTGCAAGCTCTTTTTCAGTTTGCGCAGAGTTTATATCCAGCAGTGCTTGCAATTCGTCCGTTTCAATCTTTTGAGGGCGTCCAGCACGCGGTTTATCTTCAAGATTGAAATCTCCTTAGCAAAATTTTTGTTACCATCTTTTACATGTAGTATGACTTACAGCGTTCTCTCCATATGCAGCACAAATCATTGCAGTGGCTTTAGCAGCATTTTTCTTCAGATGAAACGCGAAGTGATGGAAAATCGAATATGCTCTTTTGTTATTGCCATCGTGAACACTACTGATTTTTGAGGTTATCATCAAACGCCAAACCGTATGGCATTTTAGAAGGCCAAATGTCAACGCTTTAAAACTGCAAAAGGGCAGGAAGATATATAAAATTTAAATTGTTATTTCGGTTATATGAAATCTAAAGCTCAGAACTTCTTTGTACACCTAATATATATATATATATATATATATATATATATATATATATATATATATCGATTAATTGGCAGAATTTATATGCACTGACTATGTGCATATATACTAAACTATACGAAAATTGCTTTGTACAAAATATATTCGAATTCCTTTCTAGAGGCGGCATCCCTTTGATAGCGCCGCTTCCGAAAATTTTACCGAGCGAGCATGTTAGCTGTCACCATAAATCAAATGATTCCTGGAAAATAAATTCGCGAGCATGTTAGTTGTCATCGTAAATCAATTCTTGGAAAGAATAATTAGGGTTTCTTAGAACTTAGAGGTGATCCGACGTTCTAGAACATGCGATGCAACCTCTGATTTTCGAAGGGTATATAAGAAACGTCGGAGAGCGCTCAGCAGAGCAGTCCGAAAATAGTAAGTGAATAGTTAACATTTCAAGTGTAGTCTCCTAAAGAAACGAACTGTCTCCTTAATGAGAACTTAGTCTCCGGAATTATTTTGTAAGTTATACCTTATTTTGTAAGTTTGAACTTAGTCTCTGATACATATAGGATTTAGACTCTGATACATATTTGATAATTTGATTTAGTCTCTGAAATATTTTAACGTCTCCATATTTAGAGTATTTTTTATTCGGCTTATAACTTATAATAATTTGAAATACAGCTGCTATTTTGATAAATATTTGGAGAGATGATTAATATTTTATTGCAAATAACTGAGAATTTGAAATACTTTACATATTGTTGAGTCTATGCATAATATAACAGCAGTCGATTGACATTTTATTAAGATTTAAACATTGTTGAATCCATTTGAAATATCAGAGCACTTACGATTTAGTTTTTGATTGAGTTGATATTACGTAACCTAATTGCATTCTTGAAATTATTCCTCACCAGCTTGAATAATATAATGAGATTGCAAATGAGACTTAAGTTTTGTCAATGATTTATTGTGACACATTCATGCGATCGTTCAATCATAATTATTAATAAATATGAAATTATAACTTGAAATTTATCAATATTTCACTTAAGCAAAGCAGTTGAGTAAATTTAGTGCGCGACGTGTGATCAAACAGAAGAACATACTTACATACGCGCAAGTCGATTGGTCCCTTGAGATATTTTCCGCCAATAAGCTTCGTTGCCGATCCGTTTCTTCAATAGAGCGTAAGCAGCCGTCATGTACGGATAGATATGAGTAATCCTCTTGATTATCTGTAAGTTTTGTAAATTATAAGCAGTCTGTATCGTTGCATGCAACTTTCAATTGTAATGCGTCTGTGATGTATCGAGGTTACGATATAGGACGCAACCACGATACAGATTCGTAAATTGTTTTCTTGTATGATAAAGCATATTTTACTGCATGTATAAAAGTACTTTATTGAATTGCATGTACAATTAAATGAATTATGTGAGTAGTGACTTAAATGACTCAATAATTACTAATCCTTAGTGATCGGAAGTGAACGACAAAACTCTAATCTCAAAACGACATAATCTCAAGGCAACATAACCTCTCTATCATCTTGTGTGGCTGTAATATAATGAAAATTGATAAGAAATCGTAATGTTAAACGTGTTGAACAATAATTACGTATAAAATCGCTTAAAGATACTACTGATTATCAGGAAAGCATTATTTTCCTCATCGGCTAAAGATATTATTGATCGGTAGTTAATACTATTATCGTTAGTCAGTATTTTTATCAGCGAATCGTCGGTAATTTTAATTTATCAATTACTTTATTAATTCGTATAGAGCAGCGCTCGGAATTAGTTGCACATTTTGATCCGATTTCGAAGGTGACGTCCACAGTTCCCCCACTATCGCTCGAGTTTCAGCGGCCGAACCAACGAACGGCTGTGCCTCAGGAGCGTCGCCGTATGAGAAACATTCCATCCGTATGCCTTTCATCCTAAATTGTCAGATATCTTTGCCAAATTATTTTTAATTCCATAAATAAATAAAATGTTAAATTTTTATTAGTATGTAGTACATAGTATTATTAATATAATATATATATATATATTTTTTTTCAGAATAATATAATTGTGACAATAATCTATATATAATTAGTGTTTTGATAATAGCTTTCCACATCACCTATGAAGTACTATTGTTGATGCGTTTTTTTTTAAATGGTTTCCCCAGGCCTACTCCACTATAAATGAAAGACGAGAATGATAAATATCATTTCCTTGTTTGATAAGAACATTTTAAAATATACAAAATGAAATGAGAAAAGAAAGAAAAACAATAATTCAAATATTAATTTGATTTTCTTGGTTTACATGATTTAATTGATACATCAACGGACATTTTAGCAGAATCAACTCGCATCAGCGAGGATAATGATGCGTCACTTAAAGAAAAACGTTTTTCTGATTTTATTAGATTCATTTTAGAAAAAGAGCATTTGCATAAATATGTGGACCTAAACATGAAGAAAATTCGAAGACTAAAATTTTTAAGAAGAGGATAACACGATGTATCTAAAATTTTAAAAAATTCAAATCGTTTTTCTGGTCGCGTTTTCAAAAAATATCTGATTGCAAATCACAAAATTCTACCTGAAATTCTAGGCTTTGTTCCTCGATTTGCACAGTAAGAAGATTCTCAAAAAGTTATAACGATACCCAACTCACCCCCCTCAATTATTAATAATATTAAAGAGTCCCCGACCGATCAACCGTCGGGGCGCCGACACGGCGATCCTTCCGCGATCCCACCGTCGTGAAAATCCCGTCGAACAACGGATGCGGCAAACCAGAGATCACGCGGCTTCACGTGCGCGCTGCGTGGACAAACACGCACACGGTAAGGTCACCGCCGCCGGCCCCGCTATCGACCGCGCCACCGAACATCCTCGCGGAATTCCCGAGCGCGTTCGGCGAATTATCGCGAGGATTCCGGCAAAGGCATCCCCCGGAACTACCCCGATCCGAGTTCGGCCGACCCATACCCGACGATTCCCGACCGACGGCTGGCTCGGGTATATTAGGCGACTCCGAGAGATAATCGAGACCTATCTCCGGCGAAACAGTAGCCAGTCTAGTACTGCTCTCGATACTCCCAGTCATCTCCAAAAGCGATCTAGGGCTATCTATCGTGCCAGGAGCTTCTGGCCGATCGCTCCTTTAATCTACAAGCGCACAAGTTATTCACAGATTGAGGAGCTTCTCAATCTGAGCTCCGGAAAATAAGCCCTTGTGCACACCTTCCATCTCTGACGATCGAGAAGCAGGGAGCTTCCTGCATTCGAAACGTCATAGCACGAATCCCTGACAAACTATACACGCAAACAGCTGATCTGTCACAACAAGCCGGCCGAAAACTTCGCGCACCGTCGCGCCCGCGCCGCGCCTACCGTGAACGCGCCGAATTCGGAGAACCGACCGCGAGCAGAGCGACTATACAATACATAGAAACCGCGCTTCTTTTCACCGTACCAACGGCGAAATTTCGAAAGATACTTGTAAATATTGTACATACAAAAAACCGCAGTCAGTCGGAACTGTAAATATAGACTTAGATATATATAAACTAAAGAGGCTCACGATATTTTATTCTTTTATCAAATCCTGACCATACCCGACCGACGCTATCCTGCGAAACCCGATCTACGCGAAGCTAGAGACGTTTTAAAGTATTAAATCTTTTCGAAGTGTTTCAAAGTCACTGAAATGTTTATCAAATTGACTCATTATGGATCAATGAAATGAAGTTGATTTTTGAAATCGCAATTTGTGCTATGTTCTTCAAAAAGAATCTGACAAGAAGGGGAAAAAATGAAAAACATTATTTTCAATATGATTTTTAAATACTATTAATTTTTTACGAAATGAATCGACATGACTAATTAATTGCGAAATAGTTTGTCTTTTGTATTTATAAACATCTCCCTGAGAACTCGAAAACTACAACCTTCTCGATACACTAATTTTAATCCCTCAATCAAATTACATTTCTCCTCGTCCACATATTTTGAATACTCATCTAAATTATTATATATGTCTTATTATTATATTATTATATTTATTATTATATATGTCTATAAACAACATGTCTTTTAATAATAGAGGGTTGATAACCACATAGAAGACAAGTGGTTTTATTACAAATAAATGCAAAAAAATGTTCTTCCATTATCAAAAAATTGTTGGTATTTCTGCTTGTTATCCATTCTTCACGAATTCAGAGAATCAATTCGGAAAAATACAATTATATTTAAATAGAACAAAGATAATATTCATAAATATTATTACTATTGCACGTTATCAAACACTATCACCACAATAATATATAAAACGCTATCACATGTAGCATTGTCACAGAGAGAATTATTACACATGTCTCATTTATAAATTTTCTGTTTTCACAATACAAATTTCACAAAACTATAAGTTCACACGAGATCTGTATGGCACACGTTTCACTAATGAGACCGTTAAGAAACAGCGAAGGAGATAAAACAATTGCAGATCGCGCGTGGCATGAGTACGCGCCAAAGATGAACCGCGTGTTTTATCTTGTGTGAATATTTCAAATATAAAGATAAAAATTGCTATTTATGAAATAATACTAAATGATATTAGATAATAATATTATTGATGCTATAATAATATTAAATATACTTATTATATGTTATTACACTTTGTGTATAATGTAATAATAATATTAAATGTACTAATGCTTATATATTATTACACGTTGCTTTGCGTATAACGATCCGTTCTCGCCAGGCGTATCGATTTGTTCGGTCAAACCCTGTGTTACGGCCGCTGCGGTCGCCTGCCGTAAGGGTCGTAGCTTTATCCACTTGGTGAACCGGTCCTGCACCGGACGAGCAACCATGTATGCCCATTGAGCGGGATAGCGGCCCTATGAGATCGACCGTGATCTTCTCCCAGGGTTCGGATACATGTGACGGGTGAAGGAAACCGGTGGGGCGTTCTTGGGTGACTTTGTGGGCAAGGTAGTTTTCGCAATTTCGCACATAGTGGGTGATGTCTATGAACATCCCGGGCCAGTAATAGAGGCGAGGCGTTCGCGCGATTGTTTTGGCTATGCCTAAGTGTCCGGCGGTCGGTTCGTTGTGCATGCGGTGTAACACCTCGGGTCAGCGCGGCACGCACTCTTTCCATTGATCCGCGACCGGTGTGTCGCGGAAATCGGTCGAATGGAAGAAGAGATGGTATAAGCGGTTCTGGCGGATACGATAGTCTCGAAAATCATTCAGTTTTTCATGGACTTTTTTAAATTGTCGACGGTACCATGGGCGAGCAACACGGGGGCGGATAGTATTGATAGCGGGGTGGATAGTATTGATAGCGGGGCGTCTGGAGAGGGCATCTGCTACGCGGTTGAGTTGGCCCCGACGGTATCGGATGTCAAAAACGTATTGTTGGAGCTCGAGTGTCCATCATTCCAGCCATCTCGTCGGGGATTCCGCTGGAGCCACCGGAGGGGGGCATGAACGGTCACGACAGTAAATGCGTATCCTTCTAGGTAGCTTTGCATGGCGGATTCCCCATATGACGGCTAGGCACTCGAGCTCGGTGGCGCTATAATTGCGCTCAACCCAATTTAACGGCTCGCGTAAGCTGTTATGCATTCTCCCTCCTCGAATTGCTGAGTTAGTACGGCCCCAAGGCCGGATGCACTCGCGTCGGTCTGTAGCACGATACGCCGGTCGAAATCCGGCATACTAGGATTGGAGCGGAAGTGCCCTCATGCACTTGATGAGTGCCCATTTGAGTTCCTGGAAGGCATCGTCCTCCTCTGAGCCCCACCGCCACTTCGCGTTTTTCTTCGTTAGTGTAATCAAAGGGGCCGCGAAGGAAGAGAAATTCGATATGAACCGTCAGTATCAGGAGGCCATTCCCACGAATTGTCTTATCTGTCGAATATTCGTGGGTGGTGGCCATTGTGAGACCACGCGAACCTTGTCTGGATCGGTTCGTATGCCCTGTCGGTCTACAATGTGGCCCAGATATTTATATATTTAATTCATTCACGCAGAAGTGATTTATCGAGGTTCAGGTGGAGGCGGGCTTCGCATAATCGGCGAAATACTTCCGTGAGATGTTCGAAATGGCTCTCAAGCGTCGGACTGACTACGATTATATCGTCTAAGTATACGAATACATGCGGTTTCAGCTCAGGGCCTAGGACGTCCAGCAGGCGTTGAAAAGTAGCCGGGGCGCAATGC